TGCACATCGGGCGACTCAGAAACCAAGCCAGTCCTCGTTTATACTCTGTACTGAACAAGCACACTTAGTGCTTCTTATTACATTACAAAACCAAGCACTCTCGTTTCCATCAGGACGATGTGATCCCCTTTCGCGGCCCATTTTGCCATTGGTCACAGTCGAAATTAATGAAGTAAGTTGTGAACCATCGTTCCGCTTGATAGAAACCTCGGCCGTTGGTGGAAGAGAAAAACTTCCAGTCCAGTTCAGCCGCTATGTTCTCTCCAGCCCATGAGATTGTTTTTTTGACGTCTCGTCTTACTACTTTTTCAAGAGAGATGGAGTGACTAGGATGTTCTGAGTAAAATAAAAAGACAAACTCACGCCCTGTTCCGGCTGCCTAACAGACCTCAGACTTGTCAGTAGATCACGGTCTTAGTAATTACAACTTGTCAAGTTTTAAGGGGAAAATCTCCATATTTGCGGGGGCGTGGTGAGAGCGTAGTGGAAGGGAAAGGACTCGTTCCCATATAGTCTACTACAAAACTAAAGGTACCAATCATCACAATTAAGCTACCTCACCCTTACCCTCTAGGCACAGAAGGTGACCTCTGCACTAACAAGAAACTGCAAATCTCAGCCGAAAAATCGTATCATGCGCCAGAATCGTGTGTAGCGACTGAAAACCATTTCGTTTAGTAAGCAATGGCAATCTTTGCAACGGCCAATAAAGGCTTCCGCCTAATCCATAAAGGTCGCCGCAAATAAAGTGCGTCAATCACGCCAGGATTGACAGAAAAACACAATTGCGCAAAGTAAGCCTAGCACTAGCGAGCAGATACAAATTGCGCAACCGTTCTGGCGATAACCTAATCTGTTGACCGACAGGAAGAGCACACACGCCAGTCCAACTGTAATGGATAGCGGTGCTAATTACGCAACGCTGCTTGGGCAAGCGGCGTTGTTTTATTGTTTCTCAGCAAGATAATACGGGAACAAACATAGCGCGCTCCTAATAATAAAAAAACTCTTAAGAATGCGATATTGGGCGTCAATAGACATATGATGATTTATCATTCTATTAAAAATACGTGAAGAAATACCAATAACAAAAGAAATTTCGCGCGAAATGAACAGGGCGACAAAGAAGAAAAAGACGCATTTTTTACTTCAAGAAGTCTTATTGAAATATCTTGTGTGCAATGACACAGACTGGCGGTTACCGTAACCCGGTTCCTAATATTAGGCTCCGGGACGATTCCTTAATTGGGGGGGGCGGGGGGTCCCGTAGGCGTGTGTTCCTTGGTGTTGTCGGCCACTCAAGCAGCGTCGCCACGAAAATGCAGGGCGTGGGTCGGCGAGACCATGTGGATGCTGGGATGGTGTTGGTGTGTGTGCGACAACCAGGGCCGCAGTGTGTTGGTGGCGCCGGTGGGAAGACACGATACGCGGAAGTGAGGTGGTTTACAGTATACCCACGCCAAATTAAATCATTCCACAGCTCAAAAAGTGATTTTTTGAGAAAATTTGATGCTATCTCTTTCATATCGTTAAATGACTGGACAAAGGCTACAATGAAAATTTTAGGAAGGTACAAAGGTGTCAGCAAAAAGCAATAAAGAGGGACAACTGAACTTTTCCATAAGAAAATAACCCAAAATGATTACTGCAATAGAAATTCACTGTCCTGACGGCGGTGGACGGCACGGTCAATGTCAATAATGCGCATGTTACAATCGACTCTGTGCAGAATGAGCAAGATTCAGCACACGGCTTACCCAAAATTCTTTATTAGACTAGTTTTTCAGAACTCCTTCGATATTTTGTGTAAAATACAAGGATTTTAAGGTAGTGAACGCTAGCAACCAGCTCCATTATTCTGAACTAGATCGAACCGTATTCCTTGAAAAACTTGAGCTGGAAGCAGAGTAATTTTGACGAAACTCCCCGGGAATTTTTCAATTTCTAGTATTGTCAGTTACGAATTACCAAGATTTTCTATCTAAACTCAATATTACATCAATACAACACTTCTCTTTTCATATTTCGCCTGCCAGTTTCATGGAAATCTTCTCTGTTTCGTAGTTCATTCTCCCTTATCGAGGAGAAGAACATGTTATCTTTTATACACTTATAAAAATACTGATAGGAGAGTATTTCAAACCATGTCTTCGGGTAATTTATGAATTGAGCTTCAGATAACTACAGTAACCTATATATTTGTGGGCGGTGCTTCATTAACCTTCATAACTTAGTGTAAATAAAGCACATATGTATAATAATGTAAGGTTCGCTCACAATACAGAGAGTTGTAATAGAATTCAATCACCTAACTGCCAGCCAGGACAGCAAAATTCAACGAATCGTAATTATAACAAATATCCTGGAGTCGAAACAATCGTCAAATCTTCCATTTCGTCGTAATAATTCTTTTACTGCGCTAACTCTTCATTTCGCCGCCCACAATCTCCATTTCGTCAACAATCGAATACCTCACCCATTTTTCCCAGTTAACGCAATATCAACATGTAGTCCTCAATCCATTCTCAAACCTATGACATCCTTATTCGTCATTACAGTCTTGGGCGCATTTATTGCTCCTCCTTCAGCATTTTCTCTTAAATATCAGCTCTGGCAACAGGGAAATCGGGTTGACGAAATTATTTTCGACCATAAGATCAGAGGATCTTGCTATATTTTTACACCTGTCAGATCTGGAAAACAGTTCTACTTTATCCAACCAGGCACTCGTGATCTTGTTAAAACCAGTCCACAAGGGCCAAGGGGCCGAAGCCAAGACTGTGGACATTTACAATTTAGCATTTACAATGATGGAAACAATCAGTACAAGTCACCTTCGGGTTACGCCCAAGTGACCAATATCCAATTAAATTTACCTAACAAACTAGCACATTGAAACTTCATGCTTCAAAAACTCTCTCCAACATTATCATATTATTAATATTTCGGACTTGGCAAGAATTTCAACTGACTTATACCTTATCAAAAACCATTTCAACTCAATGGACAACCTATATGCCGGACCATCGAAATCAACGATAGAAGAGAATTCGATCACGGATCAAGTTGGACATGAACTTGCGGATACTGCCCACACGTTTTGAATCCAAATGCTGCGAGGAATTCCTCTAAGCACAAGATGGAAAAACTTCTCAGAGTCTTCTGGTTTACACCGACGTGGTTCAGGAAGATTGGTCAATCGGATCCGATCTCGTCTCCTGGTTTAGTGATTGCTCGTCGCCAATCCTATTATTGTCAAACAGCGTTGTTTCGAACACCTTTGAACCTACTTTTCCGAGCCATAGGTAGGGTAATGTCTTTCATCTTCACCTCCATCTGCAAAAGGAAAGTACCTTCTCCCTCAGTCTTCCAGCTGTTTGGTTGAAAATTATCGGGACAATCTTCGGAATAACCACGCCACCCAGCCGGTCTCTAATAGGGGCAGCCAATGAGTAGTATTGCAAATTCCAACTCCTTGCATGTATAAATGTACCAGCATCCAGTCTTCCAGCCCCCCATCTTCAAATGATAAATCTGCCGGCTGCGCCAATTCCAACGCATCATCAGCAAGCCGTATTCGACGTCCTTCAATGATCACCCATTACCTTCGCAACCTAGTGCAGCATCTGTTAACCTAAACCATTTAGGAAATTTACTCCACGGTATCTCTCTCAGTCCATACTTGGAAAATGCCAGTCAAGTGATATATTGTCCCGGATTTTAAACCCAGACGAATTCCTCGTATAGTAGCTCTTTCTTGACACTGGATCCTGCTCTGAACGATTGTCTCGTGAATCGCAGTATGCCTCGAAAGTTGTAACAGCAGCCTCAACTGTCTCAATCTACGATTACAAAAGGCATCACAGCAAATGGATCCATCATGAAACTACTAGGTCAATTTACACCAAATCTCACTATAGGACAGAGAACAATGCAAATCACTGCTACGGCTAATCGACGCAAACTGCTTCCTCTCCGGTTCATTCTGCCGGACAACGAATGTTATGCTCAACACATTTCGCACAAACAGCTGGTCCGGATAAAACTGATCACCTTAACACCGTTTCTTCTTGGAACAAGGACCACACTGTCCCATTCACAAAGGACGAACCGCGCCTCTTTCCGATACCGATCCCGGTTTCCAAGATGAACAGGATCTGTGTTAATTTTCCTGCGTCTTGATATCATCTCCTATGTCTGAAAGAATTGTATCTCCTCAGTGTTGTTGAACGACAGCGCTGTTGTGAGCGAAGACGTGGTTATCTTTCCGGTATAACTCTCCAGTGACCTCACCCTGCATCTCATCCATTTAACTCTGGCATTTGGATCGTTCAACAGTTCAACATGTATTTTACCTCAATACATCTGAGGACATTGGAATGTCATGTGCTGGAGCTCGAGGACGAGCTCACTCTGAAGGAATGGAGATGTCGGCGGTCCACGACCTGGCTGGGCGTGGCCCGAGATTACGGTATCGCAGGAAGCTGGCGCAAGGCGACTGGAAGACGAGACGACCGCCAGTGGTAGTGAGTACTCACGATGTGACGGTCCACCCCCGACCGTCTTCCACTCCCTTCCTTTCCCCTTTGATGTATGACTAAATACTGTATAGCCTAAATCTTTTTGTATGCAAAAAACCGCTATCACACCTATCAGATACAGGAGTCATGACCACTGTAATCTGGATAAGTTACAGTACTTCAATTGGCGTCCGGAAATATTATTACCTTGGCAAGCATTGCTAAATGCCTGAAACGGATTCTAGCCCCATCTGGAACAGCGTTCAGTATCGCGATCCGTCGATCGATGGTCACATGACGCTGCGGTCGGAACGCGCGACTGGCCACATCGCGAAGTATGAAAGCATTCTTGCGGAATCTTAGCAAATCGTGAGAAGTGCTCGCAAGAATCTAGAGCCACTTGTCCTGAAGTCTCATGAAAAGAGATATCAAGAACTTTCATACGCTGATCTGCAACCCATGCCAATTTGTACTTGGTGATTGTATATAGTTTTAGAGTCGGAAATCGATCGGTTGTTTGCTGATATTCGTGATGCAGCCCTCAATGGCATTTGGGTGGAGAAAAACGTAACAAGCTCACCTAATTGGTCATTTGGTCAAGCATTCTTCTTCGCCGGTACGCTCATTAGCACCGTAGGTAAGCGGCTCTCTTTTTTCAGCTTCGTTTTTTCCTCAAATGCTATGCTATTTAACTTTGTGAGACTGAGTCTGTGTAAGACCAGCTACGCCATTTTTCACTGCAAACATGCAGTCTATATCTCGATGACGACGGGGGCGTGGCAGCAATTCTTCACTTGAACAAGGCGTGGACCTGTTGGTCGAGGCCAGTTTCCATGTGGGACAACTGTCGTACTGTCTTGTGTTGGATACACACATCATTAATCGTTCCCAAAATCGTAATCGTCTCATCACACCAAAGCGCAGCCGCCATCGCGTTCAAATGAAGTAGGCGCCACGCCCTCTCAATACCCACGGTATGCAGTGGAAGTTGAAAGTACGGAGCTCTGCAGCACCTATGTCTGCTCTCCCCAAACCAAGACTCCCGCTTATTATGTAAAGAAGCTGTGTCTTCTCTGCGAGGCTATCCCTCTGTGACTGTGATCGTCTGCGCTCTGAACTTAAGTCTTGGTGGAGAAAGAACACAAAGGAGCAACCGAGTGGGCCACCGTCTCCAGATGCGAGAAATCCTGGGAAAACACTCGTTCCCTATTGCTAAAGTTTCTATTATTCATACTTGAAATCACATCCTCATTACTTTCCAGGTTATGGTCGGGTATCACCAAGGACCGAGCATGGAAAGCTATTCACAATCGTCTATTGTATGATTGGTGAGAGCTGAAGTCTTCATTTTCTTGAGTCTTCATTTTGTGAATTTTACATTGCGTTCATACTTTGTGTCAGCGTGCCGCAGCGTTTCGAGCGATTTTGAAAGTATAGGCATCGAGCCCGTGTTTTGAGCATACGCGTAAGCCAGCGGCTAGAAAAGTGTAGATATCGATCTAGCGGTTGGCGTACACCTGTGTACGCTCAAAAGCTGATGCAAAGTATGAACGCACTCTTATTGAAGCATTCATTTCTTCCTCAGCTAAAGCTTCGAGCTTTTGCCGTTGATCACTGTCCTTCCGCGATGCGGCGTGCATTCCCCTTCCATTACGAATCGTAGTGTCTTATTGAATGCAATATGGTCTATATAATGACAAGGGGGGCAGCCTACGCACAAGTCAGTGCTTTCTATCCTCCCACATAAATCGGTAACAACTGACCGTCCGACGGGTAGAAAATTATGTCCGTGGCTCAAATTCCAGATCGACCTGGGTCAGAGCCAGTCTGGAATTTGAGCCGCGGACCGCGCTCATGGAGCTGTTTTTCTACACCTATATTTTTTCTATCCCTCTTTGAAGTTGGTAAAAGTTCAACTTCCAGGAATTCCTTTGACGCTGGCTCTTCTGTCGGCTATCGTGGCTCGTCTCAAAAGACCGTCTCAGATTCTGCGAGGTTTTCTGAACAAACGCCTTGCCCATCTTTTCCATGAAGGACATATTCAGGTATTGTATGAATATGTTGTTCATTCAACTCACATTTTTGCAGAAATCATATCGAAAAGCTTGTCCGAGGTTTTCAGATATTCCACTTGGCAACGGTTTGTCTGCTCCTGCTCGTTTTCGTTTTTCTCATACCAGCATGGATCTTCACAAACATAGAACCAGACTGGACGTACCTTGATGCTTTTTATTACTGCTTCGTCTCATTGACGACAATAGGTTTAGGTAATGCTCTCGTTTTATTCCAAAAAAAATTAAATATGTTGTATTGGTTTTTTTGAATTATATTGGTTTCTAAAACCTTCATAACTGAAAGGCACTTAACGGATCATTAGTTTTTTTGCTGTTTTCTCATTCGGAGTTATTTTTCAGTTGAAGCTTGTTATTTTCAGGAGATTACGAACCAGGTGATAGTCCTGACCAGGAGTATCGAGGTGTCTACAAGGTTATTGCCACCGGTTCGTTCTTTTCTGTTGTGTTCGGCTCAGAATGGCTTAGGGGGACAATTAAATGAGATAATCCCTGTATCAATCAAGCTTCATTTTCGCCCCATTTCGCTTTTGGATGATTTATTAGTCATTTCAGTGTACTTACTGGTTGGCTTATGCTGTATGATGTTGTTCCTTGCTACGCTATATGAAGTGCCACAGTTTGATTTGACGCGCTTCTTTCTTGAAGACGGACGAGGAAGCGAGGATAGTCGATGAGGTTCGTTCCCATGAGGACTTTTCAGCAACCACCCTCAAAAGATTAGCTTCTAAGCGGATTTCACTTTCGAGAGACGAATGTGCTAATGCATTACTCCACCGCTGACATGACGCGGGTTCTGAAGGGAATTCTCAGCTGCACATCCGAGGACCTTTTTGGAATAGTCACTCCTATGCATTTGCCTTTCGAGGCTCGCAACTCTAACGCTGGGGTTCTCCCTTCCAACAGGCTACTTCCTCTCACTAGGAAAATACAGCGTTCGGCAAAATATGACTCATTCCACCCAATTTTTTGTTACTGGTGCGACCTACCCTTCCCGTGCTACCTGCCATCTTCCTGAGTTTTCCCAACTTTCTACCACCTTTCCAGTAAACTTTTCAGTTTTTCCCAGAATTTTATAATCAAGCTGGAGGCCGAGAGGGGAGAAAGGGGGAGGGTGTCGCAGCGTGTCTTCGACAGGCCACGATAAGACTTTCTAACAGGAAACGTTAGCCCAACAATACTCTGTATCAATCTTAGGAGGTTGTTACACAAAAAAAAACCAAGATTCCACCTACAAAAAAACCAAGATTCCACCCTTTTCAAGTACACAGCACTAACTAGTTATGCACTTGTTTCAGAATGATGTGATGCCAAAATACAGTCGGTTTCCTGACGATGCTGGTGGAGTGCAATCGTACGAAAATGGATTCTATCAAGCGCAATGATCCTTTAACAAGATTCTCGTGGTTGTTTTCTGTACACGTAGGGATTACCTGTTACCTTTTCTTGATTTCTGTTGGTTTTAGCTTTCCCATGTTGTCAAACATGATTTCTTTCCAGAAAAAACCAAAAGGCATTCATTACGTGCGCTGCAAGAGTTCTCTATGCATGTATATCACCCGTTATCTTTGCTTCCGGTTCACTTTTTCTTAATCCGTATGGGGTGGATGAATTGATGTGTCTTAAAATGTTTACAATATCATCATCTTTTGTAAAAAAATAGTTTAAACAGAAAGCCTTTGC